AAAAAAATGTTCAAGAAAATAATATGTTGTTTTTATTAGTGTCAATTGTTATTGAGAATCCTAGTGGTAGGACATATGACAAGGTGATTCATACAAAAATATTGTGTTAGAGATTTATGATGAGACAACCTATATACTATTGTTGTGTTAAGGACCTAGGATGATGTGGCTAACATAAAATTATTCTGTTAGGGATCCACGATGCGATGATCTACACGTATAAGATATTTATGGAGGATGATTGATGACTAAGGTCCAAACTTGAAGACAAGTTCCTTCTAAATGAGAAGACTGTTATAAGATTTTTTTTAAGAAAATAAATATTTTTCTTAGTTAATTTTTTTTCCAATTAGTTTTATTAGGCTTTCTAGTTATTCTATTTGAATGGGATATGTTTTTCTATTTTATTTTCATATTTAATATTAATATGGTTTTTAGTATTTCTATATAAAGGGTTGCAATAACTTTTGATAAATGGAGACTTAGATGGAAAAAATGAATATTTTGGATGTTTCTCTATAATAATGGTATTCTTGATCTTTGAGTGTTTTAACTTGTAACAAAACCTATTAGTCTTCATTCATGTCTATGTTAATTAATATCAGAGTTCAACGATTCCTAATGGTTTTGGTTAGAGGTCGTAGATGACATATGTCGCACGTCGGAAAATTCATGCGGCATCGCTGGCGATTTTTTTTATTTGTTATTATTTGTGTTTTGCTTGGTTCTTTGGAGTCGCCACCTAGTATTATGGTCACTAGGAACCTATGGTCTACGAGAGTCTGAGTAATGGACTGGTTGTACAAGGGGAAGACGCATCACCCCAATGCACCTTACCTAAGGTAAGTTGCATTGTTGTTTGATCATTTTTCTAAGTTAAATTTTTATTTGTTATTCTTTCCTAAGGTTCAAGGCAAATCTCCCTTCACGAGGGAGTCTCTACTTTATTGGGTTAAATCCTAACTATTCTAAAGTCTGAATTTTAAAATTACCTTTATTTACACCTTGTATCTTTAATACTCGAGGGTGTACTTTATCGTATAATTTTACACCCCACAAATATTAAAGTCTACATCATAATCCTAAAAAAGGGGTTAAAAAAGGAAAAAAAGGCTTTTGATATTTTGGTCAAACCTTAACGGATAATCATAAACTAGTTATGATATCCATTTTTTAGATTTTTAAATCGTGAGAAAGATGTAATTTTTTATTTTTTAAAAAAACATGGAAAATTATTTAGGACTTGACTGTATGCAAATAAATATTTTTTTTTGTTTTTTGAATATTTCAGAGAAAACCGGCCATTTTAATACTGGACTTGTATCTTACAATGTAAGTATACAACCCAATGTTAAACAAACTTGGTAGAAAAATATTGAAGAAAATCACAAAAAAAATTTGAAATGATTTTTAAAATTTTTTGACATTTTGTTTTGAATTTTGTTTTTTAACATTTCAATGAAAATCAGTTATTTTAATACCGAACTTGTATCTTAACATGTAAGTATACAACCCAATATTAAGCAAACTTTGTATAAAAATATTTAATAAAATCACAAATTTTTTGAAATGAATTTTTAAATTTTTTTAAAATTGTTTGAAGTTTTTTTGTTTTTTTATATTAATATAATATAATATAATATAATATAATATAATATAATTAAATATTAAACACATGTGGGTTGGGCCGGGCTCAGCCCATGAAAAGTGGGCCAAAATCGGCCCAAAATGGGTGGGCCGAAGTTGGCCCAAGATTTTTTGTTTGGGTCAGGCTGGGTCATAATTGGCCTGGTCCATCAACTAATTAATTAGTTGTTGCATGCAGCAACCATGACGAGGAGGGGGGAGGGGTGATCAGAGAAGAGAATTAAGCAAGGAGGTTTACTTGGCATTGGAGAGCTGGCGGTTTGGTGGAGGACGACGACATGGCTGGTGGCTATAATTGTGGAGGCTGGCGGAAGAAAGAAAAAGAGAGGGCTGGTTGCAAGAAAAATGGGCAGAAAAGTTGATTTTTGGCCAACTTTGGGTTCTATTTTTTCCTCCCCCTAAGCATGAAATTTGCTTTTATTTATAGGCATGGAAAGAGGGTAATCTCGTCTTTAACGGGGAAAAAATTTCCGCCATTGATTCGACTCGGAATCCAGACTGTTGGCTCAAAGTATGCACCTCGAACTGCCAAATTTGACAAATCCCAGGCTGCAGGCTGCCCAAGGTGGCCACTTTAGGCTGACCAATAGAGCCTTTTTAAATCTTATAAACCCGACCAGACAATTCACGAGGCTAGAGAGGTTGTAGGTGAACATGTTGGTGCATGCGTTGTCGGCTTTGGTGGCCAAACGAGGCCGAAAATGCACCTGGAACGTTGCCACTCGGGCAGCTTTTCGGGGAAGACGATGAACAATAACCTGTTTTTTTTTTTAACTCATAAAACTTCAACTTCAGTCTTGAATTTATACGCCTTTTTTCATTATAGTCCTTGGTCTCAAATAATGCAATTTCACCCCGAATTGATCATTAAACTCTCAATTTCTTCAATTTGACCCCTGATTTCACTTAATTAACTTGGTAAAAATTAAATTTGGTTTCTTAAAATTCCAATCTTTTCAATTAAGCCCAAATTAGACTCTCAAACTTAATATTTTCACAAATTAAGCCCCAAATAAAATTAATTTGACCCATTTAAAGTATAATTAAGTCTTTGCACTTAATTGAATCCTTCAATTGGACCTAAATTAATTCTTGAACATAATTAAAATTCAATTTGGCCTATGATTAAATCAAATTGGCCCATTAAAAATTTAATTATATCATTGAACTTAATTTTTATGCAAATTCGTCCAATGTTCATTTAATTTGACGTTTAAATTTGTTTTTTTCTATTTTTGGGCCTAATAGGGTACAATTAGGCCTTGAAATTCCTTCAAAAATTGTAGCTTTATTTTTACCTATTTTTGCAGTCTTTCTAGATCAGCTTTCTCCACATTGCCAGCCTTTATTTTATTTTATTTTATTTTTATTTTAAAGTGAATTTTAGGGAATAACCTAGAATTGGGTTATGACAGTTACTCCCCTCTTTACAATGCTTATGATAGAAAGTCATGTAAGAAACTTTAGATAGTAAGCGTTGTAAAGAAGAAAGAAAAAAGAAAAAAAAAAGATGAGATATGATTGACTCATCTTGTTGAGAAATGATAAATCTTGTTGAGGGCTAAAAAGCGTACTCAGAGTAAAAACTGGAAGAGTTTTTTTGAAAATTCAAAGATTTTGAAATGGTCAAATTGTCATGGGTGACCTATCCAACAATTTTTTATTCTTTTTTGAGGTGGTCTCATTATAATAGGTGACCTACTCAGGTGAAAAACACGAAAAAGTTTTAAAGTGGTAAAAAATACAAATATTTTTCAAAAGTGGTGAGAAATGTGAAGATTTCTCGAAGTCGTGAGGAGGTGAAAAATGTAGAGATTTTTCGAAGTGGTGAAAAATACAAAGATTTTTCAAAAATGGTCTTGTGGTAATGGGCAACCTGTCAGGGTGAAAAACACAAAGATTTATCAAAATAGTGAGAAATGCGAAGATTCCTCAAAATGGTGAGAAATGAAAAGATTTTTCAGAGTGGTGAAAAATACAAAGATTTTTCAAAAGTGGTCTTATTGTAATGAACAACCTGCCCGGGTGAAAAACATGAAAATTTTTCAAAGTGGTGGAAAATACAAAGATTTTCGAGAACAAACTATTAAACACCTCAAATTCCATAAATCTTAAATTCTAAATAAACAAGAAATTAGATTATTTAAATGAAATACTAATCTAAAAATTATACTGGTTCACTAATTTATTTAATTTAACTAATTGCTTTGTTTCCAATTAATTCTTTATAAAGCTACTTTACTTTCAACAGATTCAAATGATGCAACAAGAATTACAGGCCCTGGTAAACTTTCCAAGTCAGATATGAAGAGCCTTATCCTCCACGTGCCTTTTTCTTACTGGTGGGTGAAGTAAGAAGAACCGTGTGAGCTGATTGGAGGGATTATGTGTTGTGTGTGCGTCTAATGTCCCTTTTGGTAATTATAGCAAGAATTACAGGCCCTAGTATACTATACCCGTGATAAATGATTTGAGCATTTAAAAAAAAAAAAAGGGTCCTCACGCGGAAATGGCCCATACCACAGCGACTTCTAAGGCTGACTTTATAGGACCTCCAACGTAATATTATTTTAGTTTTTTTATGTTTATTTTACATATTAAAAAAATGCTAAATAAAATGTTAAAATGTTTTTTATCTTCTATAAATATTATTAGTGCTGCGTTTGAACGCTGATTAAATTTTAAAGTTTAAGTTTATATATAAATTTAAATTTGTATAAATATAAAATTTAAAAAATTAAATTTATTACTGACCTCAAATTCTAAATAAATAAGAAATTAAATTACTTCAAAAAGAATATTAATGAACAAGAAATATAGTTTTGCCAACTTAATCAGTTAATCAATTTATTTAATTTAAATGGTTACTTCATTTCAACTAATTGACCGATTCTCAACCGTTAAACTAATTTAACTAATTCTTCATAAATCTACTTTACTTTCAACATAAAGAATTACAGGCCCTAGAAAACTTTCCGAGTCAGATATGAAGAGCCGTGAGAGTTGATGAGAGGGATTATGTGTTGTGTGTGTGTCTAATGTCCCTTTTGGTGATTATAACAAGAATTAAAGATCCTAGTAAACGCGTGATAAATGATGTGAGCAAATTAAAAAAAGAAAAAGGGTCGTCACGCGGGAAATGGCCCATACCACAGCGACTTGTAAGGATGACTTAAAAGCAGAAAATTGATGAACGGATAAGAGAACATCAACGAAGGGAAAGTGAAGATTGCGGGTACTCTCTCTCTCTTATCACTTATATTAATTCACTGTTAGAAACTAATTATTGATGATCTCATCAACCGATTTTGTTGGTTCAGCATAGAGATTTATCATGTGTACAGATACTTTAAAGAAAAAGTAAGATAATAATATATGAACACTCCAGCTTATTGGTGTGCTGTCGATCTTGAAAACTGTTTTATTTTGTTCAGATCTTTGAAAAGTCTTATCTTTGCTAGACTCGAAATGGCTGCTGGGAAATATCAAGAATCCTACTCTTCACGGTTTTCTTATTGTAAATATCAAGTGTTCTTGAGTTTTAGAGGTGAAGACACCCGCAAGAACTTTACCGATCACCTCTACAAGGCCCTGGTTGAGGCAGGGCTTCACACATTTAGAGATGATGATGAAATTCGGAGGGGAAAGAATATACAGCTGGAGCTCCAGAAGGCAATACAACAATCAAAAATAGCGATAATCGTGTTCTCCAAAAACTATGCTTTGTCGAGATGGTGCCTCGATGAACTTGTAAAGATTATGGAACGTAAAAGGAATGTTGACTGCATAGTTTTCCCAGTATTCTATCATGTGGATCCATTTGAAGTCAGAAATCAAACTGGGAGCTTCGCTGCAGCATTTGTGGAACATGAAAAGCACTACAAGGAGAAGATGGAGCAGGTGAATGGGTGGAGGATTGCTTTGAAGGAAGTTGCCAATTTAGCTGGAATGGATTTAGGAGATGGGTAAGTTATATCTCTTGATGAAACTATACATAGCATAAGACTAGAGTGCTGGTCGTGAACTCTTAATTTTTTTCAGTCAAGTGTACTGATAAGAAAACATCCAAGAAAAAAAAAATACTTATGATTCCTTCTTCTTCTTCTTTTTCGATCATGATTTGGTTTTAATAGGTGGTGATAACGCACCTACAAATTGATTTGGTTTTAAGATATGGGTAGGGAAATTGAAGCATAAAAGGAGAAAGAGGTGAGAGAGACTCGCTTGAAAATGCAAAGAGAGAGTGAGTGATTGGTTTGGCCATTTTTTTATGACGAAATTCATTGTCTTTCGTGTCGATAAAATCCATTTGATAAAAGAGTTTGATAGTTATGTTTTTTTGCCAAACATGCCTAAAAAAGTAGATTGTATCCTAGGTGTTTTATAAAAGTTTGTATGGTAATTATGTGTTTTTAAATAAAAATATATTGAAAAAGTAAATTTTCAATCCATAATACTCACCTTCGAATTTTCAGTTATTATTGTGAAGGCTAGATTTTTAGAAGTATCAAGCAAATCGCCATCTAACCCTTAAAAAAAAATAACAACCAAGGCATAGGGTTGTTGGCCAACCTTAGGTTTGCATGTTTAAGTTGCTATTATTTAAGTTTTTTTAATTTATCATTCAATGTTGGGTTTTTATTAAAAAACAATTTTGTTTTTTTTAGTTTTTCCTGTCAATATTTAGTTTGTTTTTAATTGGTCTTCATGATTTTATTTTTGTTTTTTTATAAGGTTATTACGATCTTAAATAAATGTTGTGATATTTGGTTAGTACTTAATTTTTTTTTAATTTTATCTTTCTTTTGGTCTTTTCTTTTCAATTTTATCTTTTAGATTTTGGTTGTTTTTTAATTGATTCTCCTTATTTATTTTGATTTACTTTTTATAAGATTATTATGGTCTCAAATAAACATTGTGGCTTTTAGCTGCTACCTGTTTTGCGAGCATCTATTTTTGTTATTATATAATTAAATACTCAATATTTTAAAAAATATATTATTAAACCAAGTAAAATTCATGAGCGAGCCACAAATTTTATAGTGTAAGCCATAAGGCATTAGTCAATCCAATATATCAATGTATAAATATTTTAAAAATAAAAAACATGTGATCTTAAAAAAAAAAAAAAGCCAAACCATGTTTTCCCTATTTCTTTATCCTTCTCCCATCCCTTTCTTCCGAATCATACACATTGAGAGGAAGTGGAGGTTAATGTTTAAGTATGACAGAATATGAAAGTTCATCAAGGCCGTGAACTCTTAATTTCTTTCGGTTAAGTGTACTGATAAGAAAAATAAAATAAAATACTTAATAATTTCTTCGTCTTCTTCTTTTTCCGATCATGATTTGGTTTTAATAGGTGGTGATAACGCACCTACACATTTAACTATCAATCATGGACACGCAACCCAGTTTAATTTCTTAGCTAAATGTTGTTTATTTCTATCCTTTATAGAGAGGCTACTAATTATCCCACGTTGTATTTTACTATTTGATGTAGGTACGAGGCACAGTTTGTCCAATCTATTGTGGAGAATGTCTCAAAGAATTTGGATCCAAAAATATTTTATGTCGCCCTTCATTTCATTGGAAGAGATGCTCGAGTACAAGATATCAACTCATGGTTGCAAGATGGATCCCATGGTGCTGCCATTGCTGTACTCTATGGAATTGGTGGAGTTGGAAAGACATTGTCTTGGAGCTCCATACCAAATCACATATGCTTGGAGAAGCTGGTGGTTCTTGATCTATCCAGAAGTTGTCTAGTTGATGCTTGGAAGGGCAAACCGGTATGTATCAAGTCTCTCTGTAGCTATCTCTCTCGTTTTCAATTGATAACAACTAAATTCATGTATTTTCACAGTTTCTTCCAAAATTAAAAATTCTTGATCTCCGTCACTCTCGTGATCTCATTAGAACCCCAGACTTCTCGGGTCTCCCAGCCCTTGAAAAGCTAATACTTGAAGACTGCATTCGTTTGGTTCAAATTCACGAATCTATTGGTGATTTACAAAGATTGTTGATCTTAAATGTAAGAAATTGTACAAGTCTTATGGAGCTTCCAGAAGAAATGAGTAGATTGAATTCACTTCAAGAGCTGGTTTTAGATGGTTGCTCAAATCTTACGAGCCTGAATATGGAGTTAGAGCATCATCAGGGGCGCAAGTTGCTTCAAAGTGATGGAATTGTTGCAATTACATCATTCATTTCATCTCTTCCATTGAAGGTATTCTTCCCCTCTAGGTTTTCAACGAGGAAAATGTTGAGATTTACCTCTTTTTCAATGCCACGCTTCTTGGAGAGTCTAGATTTAAGTGGAACTCCAATTTGTTTTCTTCCAGAAAGCATCAAGGATCTTGGTCTACTCAGACGCCTATATTTAAGAAATTGCAAAATGCTTCAGACACTCCCAGAGCTTCCATCCCATTTGTATTCGTTAGATGTGTCTTTTTGCTATTCACTGAAAAGACTTGCAAATCTGTTCACAAGGTTTTACGAGGAGGTAGAAGAGGATAAATGGCTAATTCAGAATGAGTTTGTAGATAACTTTTCATTCAAAATATCCTCACCTCCTGCGCACCGGATATGTGGCTTTAATCTGTTCTCAAGGTGTTGTATGATGTCAGGGTACGATGGCTCTAGTCATGTTTATCTTGAAATCAGGAACAATACCAGTGGTCGATCCTTGCGTCATCAAGCCTCTATATTCCCTATGAGTTACAAGCGTGGTGTTCGTGAATTCCAATCGCTAATTCACAAGAAATTAGGGGTTGATGATCCTACATTTGATAATGGTGATGACGTGAGTATTTCAGTGCGTCTACAAGATCCAGCTTTTCAAATAAGGAGGACGATTGGTGTCCGATGGTTGCATGAAGAGGAAGGAAATGAAATAGTTCTCTTTTTTTCTTTTTTCTTTTTTCTTGAAAAGCTTATCATGAAATAGTTTTGTATCTCTAGTGATCTTCCTCCTTTCTTTGTCTAGCATGAGATCTTTATTTATAAATATCTATAATGGCTTTCACATTGAAAAATGTAATAGGATATTATTTTATTAATTAATTTTTATTTATAAAATCTTATGTTTATAATAAGTTGTATTAAATATCTTATTTTATGTGTCAATTTTCTATTGACCAAAATATATGTAAAGGTCCATTTTTTTCATGTTAATTTTATCTTTTTTATTTCATTTTTTATGTAAAAATAAAAATAGCGCATGGTGAAATTTGATTAGTAATTTTTTTTCTGTTTCTATATATATCCTCACAAGATAAGTTCACTTGTAATAAAAAATCTTTAAAATATAATTGAGAGGGTTTTATAATTTGAATATATTTCATTTTAATTAAAAATTAAATTGATTTTATTAAATTTTCACAATAAATTAATATAGATATTTTTCTTGTAAAAATAAAATATAATAATCATCAAAATTAGAAATTTAAAATTTAATTTTGATTGAAAATTACCAAATTAAAAAATAGAGTTAAAATTCAATAACAGAAGTGGAAATCGTAAAATTTTCTTTTCATAAAAAAACAGTTACTTTGAGATCTTGGTTTGAAAGTCTCGTTATCCTGAATCAAAAGACGCAATCTGTTCATGATTTCGATTAATGATCGATGCAATTGAATCAGTTTTCATATACCAGCACTGCATTGTCACCCATCACCTCAAACATTATAACCCTTTTTTTATCAACATTATGAGGATCTTGGAATGTGTTTTCGTCTCCCTGGTTTTTGACAGCAACAGTTGTTCTAGGAGACGCGAAAGCCACAAAGTTCTAACCACTTCGACTTTTTAATGGTTGCCTGTTGGAGCTATATCATGGGATGCTCTGTTGGCAGTGATGGAGGTATTCAAAGCTCGACCTATGTTGCACATACACAACGTTAGCTTCTGTAGATTTTCTAACTTCACAGGGGTGAAGGCAAAGGGAGGAATAAAAACATGCTCCGATCTGATTCTCTTCAAGTTGGATACAGAACCAAGGAGTAGGACATTATTTAATTCTGTTGGATTCTCCATTCTCTTTATGAGCCCTGGTGAGGTGTGGTTCTTTCTTCGAACATTAAGAACCAAGACCTTAGCTTCAAGTGCTTGTATGAAGCACCAACTTGAAGCAAAAAAAAAAGAAAGAAAAATCCTGAATTTCCATGTTATCTTTTTAAATTTTTTTAAAAAAATAAGATGCTAGGTGAAGTTCATAAAATCATTAATTTTTATTTCCCCACATTCTTTTACCCTTTCATATTTAATATATGAAATTGTGAACTACATGCAAGATGTTTTTTCAATATAAAATAAATTGGTATTTTTTCCAAAAAAAACAACAAAAATCTTTCTTTAAAAAATAAAATTTTATTTTAAATTGCATATGGCTATGTCTCTCAAAAATAAAATAAAAATCATATCTTGCTTAAAGAAAATTAAATACATGGTGTTTTAATATTTTCATATAAAAATTCAAAACATATATATTTACATGCATTTTGGATTTAATAATCAGTTTACTGAATTCATGAGAATTTAGCCAATATTTCAATAATATCTAAAATTTAATTCATGAGAATTAATAATAAATATTCTGGTATAAATGTTGGACATACAAGTAGGTTGATATTTAAATATCAAGATTTGACCAAAAAATTCTTAAAACTATTTTGAATATTCACTAAGTTTAATTGAGAATATTTCTCGCTACAACACACAAGTTGTGAAAAATCCTATTACCTTCCAAGATAATTAAATCTATTAGGCATCTTTATGGATTCTTTTCATAAGAATTTATTTAAATTCAGAGAACTATAATAAATTAAAAAATTATATTTATTCACACGAATAAATCTTCATCTTAAACGATAAATAAACCACATGTTAATAATTCATTAAACTTCAAATCATATTTAAATCATATAGTATAATTTATTTTAAGTAAATTATATTAAAAATTTTAATATCTTTTTCAGTCATAATAAGTTATTTGATAAAACTAATATATCTAAAGTTTTCCACCAAACTTAAAGCAAACAATTAGATAATGATTCTTTCTACACGGACACCACACGTAGACGTACCACATGGTCGACAAAATAAAACCAGCATAGATTCAAGAATTGATAATTATGAGTCTCAACCAGCATAAAAATGGGGATGTTACAACTTCTCTCTTTTTTCTATCTCTCTCTTCCTCTTCTGCTATTTATCTCGCCAACCAAACCTCCCACTCTTTCTTTCTCTTCTCTCTCTCATTCTCTCCTAGAGCACCGACCCTCTTTTCTCTAACAGGTATGGCTTCTCCTTCTCTTTTCCCCTCGGTTTGTTTAATTAACTCATAACATGTCATTTTTTTAATTCTCAGATTAACCCACAAGTAATATAAGGTAAGAATTCACCTATTTCTTCTCTAAGTTTTGTGTGTGTTTATTTTTTATTTTTTATGTTCTTAATTGTTTGAATTTTTTTTATATGAGAAAAATTTGTTAAATTTTAGTTTTTCTTCAATTAAATTAAAAAATAAAAAACCTAATTGAACTTTAAAAAGGTTTAAGTGGCTTCATTAGGAGCTAAAATGAAAGAAAAATAAAGTTTAGAAATCAATTTGTTAGAAATTAGAAGAATCAATAAGCCTAGGTACTTAATTGAAATTTGGTTTATGTTAATTAATGCAACTAGAGACTTAATTGAAGAAAAAACAAAGTTTGAGAATCAATTTGTGTCATGATTGCAATAATTAAAGGTTTAAAGACTAAAATGAAGGGGTGTTGAGGTTTTGAGAGGCAAATTAATTTAATCAAGGGTGAAATAAAAGAAATTAAAAGTATAAAAAGGCAATTAAGGTTGAAATTAAAGAATATTAAGACCAAGAACCATACTGTAAAAGACACTAAGAGCTCAATCAAATAAATCAAGTGGCATAATTAAAAAGATTATTAAAGATTGTGATCAATTGAGGGTTTGTTTGTGAAATAATAAGAAAATAGGGATCAAAATTAACTTTCACTTATTAAATTTTTTTAGGTAATTAGTTCATAATTAAAGTCCTGTTTGTTTGCTAGAAAATAATTTTCATTTGGAAAGTGAATTCCAGAAAAGTAAATTATTTTTCAATATTTGGTAGTGTAATAGCAAATAAGTTAGAAAATACTTTCTAGTATTTGGTTATGTTATGAAAAATAACCTGAAAAATAAATTTTTGATGTTTTATTTTTTTCAAGTCTATTAAAATAATAAGGAACAAACCTTACAAATTAAGAAGTTGAATGAGAATAAAATTGTTAAAAAAATATAATTTCATAAAATATCTCAAATAAAATAAATACTAATTAAAATAATAGAGATCAAATATAACAAATAAAAAAATTGAAAGATGAAGAAATTAATAATAATTACCATTTCATAAATAATATCAAATAAAATAAGTAACAATCAAAAGAATGGGAACTAAATTTGATAGATAAAAAAATTCAATTAAAAAATGATTAGGAAAAGACAAATAACAATTATAAAATTGAGGATCAAGGTTAATATAAAAATCAAATTCTAGGGGATGAAATTGAAAAAAACAATTCAAATGTCTATTGCAATCAAAAGTTTGAGGATCAAATTTGATATAATAAGCAAATAATATGATATTTTTATTGAAATTGAAAAGATATTTTCACAACTTCTGAAAAGTGTTTTTCATTAACTAACTTTTCTAATAATAAAAAAAATATAGAAAAGTTTGAGAAGTAGTTTTCAAAAAACTACTTTTGTCAATAAGGTGTTTTTCATTAACTAACTTTTCTAATAATGAAAAAATATAGAAAAGTTTGAAAAGTAATTTTCAGAAAATCACTTTCCATCAAACAAATAAGGTCTAAACTCATTTATATGCAATTGGCTGATTAACATACAATTTGAAACATAATAAAGGCTGCCCATTAAATATATGTATTAATAGAAAATAATCTTAAAAAATAATCTTAAAACTAGGTCAAATACAAGTTGAATGAACTCTTCACTCAATGATAAGAAAACAAATTAAATAAAATCAATTGGTTTGTAGCAATTAAATTTAAATTATTTTCTCTTGTATAGATGAGGTGTTGCTAATTTAAAAAAAAAAGGAATGGTTTATGACATTTTAATTTTTTTAATTTGTGTAGATATTAAGAAGAAAGTCAATTGTGTGTTATATGAACATGATCAATACCATTTTTTTGAGCAATGCTTTTGACAACCATGAATTGTTAGGTGTCGATCAAGAAAATAAGCACATGAGAGATAGACATCCACTTATAATAGGAGCTCGTCGAGTACCTTCAAAGTGAAATTTTAATAAATAATAATTAGCTTCACAAAAAAATTGTTAAAGGAATACAGTAATACCAACCACGAAGCGAAAGATTGAGGAAAGAGAGAGAAACAGAAATGATGTTAATAGTCATCAACTTCTCCTCTTAATTAGATTTTTCTAACTTGATTCTTACCTCATTAGCCATCAACTTAATTGTGGAATTTATTTTCTTTATATGCTGAAATAAAAATAATATTTTTATAAAACTAAAAATAATATTGTTTTTATAATATGATGTCAATAGCCATAAACTTCTCCTCTTAATTAGATTTTTCTAACTTGATTCTTACTTCAGGATGTCACTATATAGCCATCAACTTAATTGTGGAATTTATTTTCTAACTTTTTTCTTACTTCACCAGGTCAATAGCCGTCAACTCCCGGCACCAAAATTTTCCATGCATAACTGGTCATATGCCTAGACGCTCCGACTATCTGCTTCCCGCATTAGCCATGGAAAATTCCTCACGCGGAAACGTTCCATACCATAGAGAGAGAGTGGACTTCTAGGGTTGGTTGACTTGTCTTAAAATTACAACCCGCCCTTTCTCTCTCAATTTTAAAACCATGCACGTGTCTTGGCCCATTAATTGATTTGTTTTTTAATCTATGTATCGGGTTTGTTTTTGCACACATGATTAATCTTTCAAATTCTAAAGTAACCATCATATAAACTTTTGTATTTGAAAATATTTAAAAAAAAATTATATTTTAATATTTTAAAAATATTTTAATATATGATTTTAAAAATATTTTTTAAAAAATAAAAAAATATTATTTTAATATATTTTATAATAAAAAATAATTTATAAAGCAACTACTATCATATTTTCAAACATGCTTTTAAAATAAATTTCAGGTAATTATGGTATTTAATTAACTTAACTCAATTATTTTATAAAAATCAAATTATTTTATTATTTTATTTTAAAAATAATTATTCAATGTTGATTTGATTTAATTTTATTTACGATTAGAAAAATTTAATAAAATTAATTTTTTTAAAATTTAAAATTAATTTTTTTAAATTTAAATTTTATTTATAAAAAATCTAATTCAGGAGTGTTTTATATTGGAGAATAAACCATTAAACATCTCAAATTCTATAAATCTTAAGTTCTAAATAAACAAGAAATTAAATTATTTAAATGAAATGCTAATCTAAAAATTATACTAGCTCACTAATTTATTTAATTTAACCAATTGCTTTGTTTCCAATTAATTCTTTATAAAGCTACTTTACTTTCAACAGATTCAAATGATGCAACAAGAATTACAGGCCCTGGTAAACTTTCCAAGTCAGATATGAAGAGCCTTATCCTCCACGTGCCTTTTTCTTACTGGTGGGTGAAGTAAGAAGAACCGTGTGAGCTGATGGGAGGGATTATGTGTTGTGTGTGCGTCTAATGTCCCTTTTGGTAATTATAGCAAGAATTACAGGCCCTAGTATACTATACGCGTGATAAATGATTTGAGCAAATTAAAAAAAAAAAAAAGGTCCTCAAGCGGAAATGGCCCACACCACAGCGACTTCTGAGGCTTACTTTCCAACGTAATATTATTTTAGTATTTTTATATTTATTTTACATATTTTTAAAAAAATATTAAATAAAATATTAAAATATTCTTTCTCTTCCACAAATATTATTCTTACATATCTTCTAAAAACATCAAAACCAACAAAATTAAACCACAAAAAAATAAACCAATTAAACATAATCATATAAAAAAATAACATCAAATTTATTAAAAAAATAAAACACTTATTTCTTATAATATATAATAAAAAAACTATATTTATACCATTTAAAATAATATTTTATCAATTTACCTCTTCGAAATAACATTTTCTCTTCCAAGTGCTCTTACAAGTGAAGATTACAGGTACTCTCTCTTATCTCTTTTAGAATCACTTAAATTAATTCACTGTTAGAAACTAATTATTGATGATCTCATCAAACGATTTTCTTGGTTCAGCATAGAGATTTATCATATCTACAAATATTTTTCTGAAAGGGCATCGAGGAGTTGATTGCTGGGAAATAACTTGAAAATTGTCTTACAGAAAAAGTAGGATAATAATATATGAACACTTCGGCTTATTGGTGTGCTGTCGATCTTGAACTATCCTGCAACTCGTTTTATTTTGTTCAGATCTTTGAAAAGTCTTATCTTTGCTAGACTCGAAATGGCTGCTGGGAAATATCAAGAATCCTACTCTTCTCGGTTTGCTAATTGTAAATATCAAGTGTTCTTGAGTTTTAGAGGTGAAGACACCCGCAAGAACTTTACCGATCACCTCTCCAAGGCCCTGGTTGATGCAGGGTTTCACACATTTAGAGATGATGATGAAATTCGGAGAGGAAAGAATATACAGCTGGAGCTCCAGAAGGCAATACAACAATCAAAAATAGCGATAATCGTGTTCTCCAAAAACCATGCTTCGTCGAGATGGTGCCTGGATGAACTTGTAATGATCATGGAACGTAAGAGGAATGCTGACTGCATAGTTTTCCCAGTATTCTATCATGTGGATCCATCTGAAGTCAGAAATCAAACTGGGAGCTTCGCTGCAGCATTTGTGGAACATGAAAAGCACTTCAAGGAGGAGATGGAGCGGGTGAATGGGTGGAGGATTGCTTTGAAGGAAGTTGCAAATTTAGCTGGAATGGATTTACGAGATGGGTAAGTTGCATCTCTTGATGAAACTACACAAAGCATAAGACTAGAGTGATGGTCGTGAACTCTTAATTTCTTTAGGAGATGGGTAAGTCATAACTAGAATGCTGGTCGTGAACTCTTAATTTCTTTCAGTTAAGTGTACTGATAAGAA